GTAATACAGTTGGGTGTCATCTGCATACATTTGACACCGAACTCCAAAACTCCGGATGATCTCTCCAAGCAGTTTCATGTAGATATTAAACAGCATGGAGGACAGAATGAAACTTGGGAGACCCCACAGGCCACTAGTCAGGGAGTCAAACAGACATCCCCAGGCACCACCATCTGGGACCAGCCCTCCAGGAAGGTCCGGAGCCACTGTAAAACAGTGCCTCCAAGCCCCATCCCAGAGAGACAGTCCAGAAGGATACCATGGTTGATGGTATCGAACACCGCTTAGAGGTCCAGGAGAACTAGCAGGGACACACTCCTCCTATCTAGCTGTCTTCATAAATCATTCACCAAGGCAACCAATGCAGTCTCAGTTCTGAAACTGGGCCTGAAACCAGATTGAAATATCTTTTTGCAAGCTTATAAGCATTTAGTACAGGAATTCTAAATATTAGTGTGGCACTCTGACCTGATATTTACTGCAGATAATACAAAATCACAATGATAAGTAAAAACCCAACCACCCATCCATAAACAAAACAAACAAACAACAAAGCCAAGGCTCGTGGACTCTATCCCATGCAATAAATTTTAGAAAACTGATTTCTAGATCTAAATTCAGATCAGGACGACAATTTAATCGGTAATACTACAAAAGTCCACTGAAAACTAAGATTTAGTGTTTAATGCAGCGTTTCCTACATTGCTTCTAAAATAAGAGCACATGGAAATAAAAAAAAACCCTTGCAAATGCTTTTGAAATTTAGTAGCAACACTTTCTAGCTGACCTCACTGTGAAGCTTATCTGCTTTTGTTGGCTCTGACAATGCTGGATCTTGAGCTGTTGCCTCCAGACTTAGGAAGGCAGTCGGATCAATATGTTGAGAAGGGAACTTCTCACCCCTCAATGTTTTTCTTTTCAATTTTAACATAAAGTTAACAGTGATGTTTGCAAGACAAGCCAGGCTTAGCAGTCAATCGCCAATAGTGATCACCACTTACAAGAAAAGAATTCCTTCATTTTTAGGAGCAAGTCAGATTTTGTAAATATGCTGCTCTTCTTAATCACCTTACATCTGTGTGAAGCTCTCCATGCTTCAGCAATTCCATTTATAACCTGAACATTTCCTTCTAAAATCTTCCAGTTCTTTTCAAATTGCTATTTCCATGGTGACACCCACATTAGTAATATTTAGTGTTATACAATAATTTCCTTTAAGGAGGCAGGAAAAGTGAATTTGACCAGCTGTGGAAATTGCTCAGCCTGTGCTGAATTCAGATGAAGATGCATAACTGCGAGGTGCCAATTATGTCTGCAGATGAAGAAGCTGCAGGCAAAAACAAAAACACTGCAATGTCATTGTTGTGTGTGTGTGTTTGTGGGTGGGGGGATAGTAGTAGCGACCTCCCAAATCTCCCAGCAAGAAACTCGCTCTACTTGACCCCTTTGTCAATCGGCATATCAATCACAAGTTCCACTCCATGTAGCAAGTCATTGGTAGGAAGCCAGTCTTGCTTGCATTTTTGACCTTCATCCATATCCTACCAGAGGTGATGGGATTTCATGAGTCCCAGGCAGATAGTGTGTGAGAATCATTCCGCCCCATTCCTCCCTTTTCTTTGGTTTCAAAGAATGACTAGAGGTATAGCAGTTCTCCTCTATTTTACATATTAATGGACCATACATCAATGTTGTCTCCTGCCAATCCAGTTTTTGCTAGAAGCATAAGACAGCCATATGATGCTATGCACTGGAGGATCACAGAGGCAAGTCAAAACAGAGAAGCAAGACGCCAGTAATAACTATCATAGAAGATACAGACCTTAGGAAAAACATGCAATCAAAGTCCTTGCATGCTGATTTGGGGGGGGGGGGAGCAAACTGCACATGTATTCTGAGTGTGAATAAATGAGTACATAAACAAACATACAAAATAAATAAGTACATATTTGTATCCACGGAGCCTTTGTATCCACTGAGGTTTGTATCCACAGGTTTGGTTCCAGGGTCTAAGGTGGATAAAAAAATCCATGGATACTCAAGTCAAGTATGTAAAACCTTTTCTCTTACATAAAATGGCAAATTATTGAAATCATATGCTGGAGTGAACCTGTGTATCTGTAAAATGGTGGGAGGCTACAGCATGGTATACCTGCAACTTGGCAATGCTTGGCATGTGCCAAATAAAGGTTTGATTTTTGCAACTCCCCCTCTTCTCCCAAACATTTTTGAGATGGGATCCATGGTTGCAAAATGCATGGATACTGAGGGCTGACTGCATGGACTAAATTGGGAGAATGGGGGTTACAAAATAATTATGTAGTATATTTAATGAAAGGGGAAAGTATTTCGAACAATTCTGAATTCCTCCTAGATTAGTATAAATTTGATGTTTATTAACTAGTATTTTTGACACATCTTCCCTCTAAATTAATTAATGTAAAGTATACATATAGATTTATGTGTGTGTGATGTGTGTGTAGGAAATAAAGTTGGAATTAACAGATGTTGCATGTGTTGTAAATGCAATGGTTTATTAAACTTTGTAAAATACAGCTTCAAGGATTTATTTTTACAGTGCATTCCCACATTTAGTAATATGGAGTCCTATCAAGCTCAATGACACAGCAAAGCAATGTTTTTACAAATTAACCTGCTTCATTCATAGAACTTTATTGTGAGGCTAATCACGAGAGTTTATCAGACAATCTCTCAGATCCATTGTGACTTAGACGTTGGAATTCAGACAAGTATGTAATGTTGGCACCTCCTTGTCCTGTATTATCGGGTACATTTCAATTTGTGCAGCGTGGAGATGTGAACAGGATATCTGGAGAGGTGAGCGCTGTCACATCCAAGTGACTAAGGGGAGTGGTGAATGCCTCCCCATAGCCAGTGAAATATCCATAATAATAATAATAATAATAATAATGGTACTAATAATAATAATAATAATAATTTTATTTTTGTACCCCACCTCCATCTCCCCGAAGGGATTTGGGACAGCTTACAAACAGCACAATGTGCCTGGAACAACGCCAAAAAAATGAACATACAATACAATAAAAGATAAAGCCACAAGCATATAAAACAATTATTTAAACTTAAATCATAGCCCAATAACCTATGGTGAGAACTGTCGTAAAACATGGCCAACAGTAACCAGGAGCAGGGGAATAGGATAGTGCAAGTTGTAGCTCATGAACTAGGGAATGGGAGGAAAGTGCAGTGCTGTCATTAATTGTAGACCATTGGGGTTGGACATTCTCAAAGGCTTGTCCAAACATTCAAGTCTTCAATTTCTTCCGAAAGAATGACAGTGTGGGGGCCTGCCTGATCTCCCTGGGAAGGGTGTTCCAAAGCCTAAAAGAGCCAGTGATTAGGCTGTGACTAAATATCCCACCATCCTTAATAATTATTGGCCAGTCTCTGACATCTTTGTTCTGCTATGTGTAGCAGCCCCCCCCCGCCCCCCCTTTCAAGGGGGCTCTGGATGAAATGAGTCATCTAGATCCATTTTAATCTGGCTTCAGGACGGAGGCAGCTTTGGTTACCTTGGTGGATGACTGCAGGGAACTGGACAGGGGGAGCATGTTCCGTTGGCTCTGCTGGGCTGCTCAGTGGCTTTTGATATCACCAACCATGGTATTCTTCTGGGGTTTGGGGGACACTATTCTGCAGTTGTTCCAGTCATTCCAGGAGTGACAAACTCAGATGGTGATGAGGGGCTACTGATTAATGCCTTAGCCACTGGCCTGTGCACTCCTTTGAAACCTATTTGGAAATTTAAATGGATCCAAAATGCTGTGGCCAGATACAGGGATCACGTATCTCCCCTGTTTAAAAAAAGCTTTGTGATCAACTCTATGATTCTACAAAACTCATGGCTTAGGTCCAGACTATATGAAAGGCCCTATTTCCCCATATGAACCTACCAGAGTCTTAAGATCTATAGGGAAAACTAGTTTCAATTGTCTTTAAAACTGTATGTTGACTTTTAACTGATTTCTTGCGTGAGATGCCAAGTGTTCCACTCTTGAAGAAAAGTAGCATATAAATGACATACACAAATCATAATAATAAAACAACAAACTCCATTTGTAATCCCCTTTGCGTGTTCCCACTGGTTGCAAGTGTTGAGGAAAGATGACATACCTGAGCGATGTCTTTTGACTGGTAATGCCAGGAGCATTCTACCCGGAAACACTGTTAGTCCCATGTGAGTAGAGTACTAAAGCTTTATTTATTTACGCACACACATATACAGAAATAAAATAAAACTTCTTAAAGGAAATCACACTTTTGATGTAGCTGTGATTGGGTACAATCAAGCAAATGGTTGAAGATTATTATTTTTAACAGTCCTGAGTGTATTAGAAAACAATCCTGCAAATACAGCTCATAATCCCAATGCTGTCATGGCTCCAAAAAGAGACTTCCAACATTAGCTTAGTGTAATTCATTTGTGTCTTTAAGGATCTAAAAATATGAATCAGCAGGATACACCCAGTAGTTTAAAACACTTATGATGAAATCAGATTTTATTAATTCAATAGTATTACTCTCTTGCATTATATGTTAGAAAGATACATGTCACAACATTTATGTATAGTTATCCTACTATTCCCACAGTGTTAGTTCAGAGGCCAAGGTGAAAGGGAAGCACCACAACCCACAAATGTAACTCCCATGAGGGACCATGGCTGGTCTGGCCTAAGGTTTACAAATTCAGAAAATGACAACTTCAGAAATAATTTTAGTTCTATGCCCGTAAGCAACTTTAGCCTTTTTCTGTGAAATGGGTTTGTGACAGAACAGTGTGAATCTAAAGGAGTATTTAACAGTGCTGCAGGGTGATCCACTCCAATGGTTTTCCCAATCGCTTTATTAAACGGACTTTTATTACAAATTTTATTTTATAAAGACTGAAGACTAATGAAATGGTTTTACTCTCATGGTTGTATCTCTCTCTTTGGGGTAGACAAGAGAAAATGCCTCACCTGGAAGAACCTTTAGATTCTCACATTTGCAATTTTTGCAGCCAAATCTTGGACAACCCGAACAACTTGCAATGAAAGAAAAGAATTATCATTACAAATTATTACTGCAGTGGGACCTACTCCTTTGCAAAATAGGCTGCCACTTTATCTTCCCCACTCCATTTTCAAATTTTAAAAAGGACTGTGCTGTATATATGTGCTTTAGTTGCTCTCAAATTGATTAACAGGCCAAAGGAGACTCAGCTCACAGTATATTCTGCTCCGCTGCTGGGCACACTTCCTCTTCACTTGTCTCCTGCTTCCTTTATTCTGAAATATAATGAACAAATATTTGTTGATCAGATATGGCATGCAATACAATACAATACAGAAAACTATTAATTTGATCACAAATGTCCAAATGCAGAAAACAGAATGTGTACAGTGTGTCCATGCTCTAACTTCCTCTCAAACATCTCTACTGTTCAAATCTGTAATCACCAGATCAGAACAAACTCGTTCAGGGAGAGATGCATCCTGAATGTCAGCAGCAGAGACAAGTTATGAGCACACTTCAATCTGTTTCATCAGCTGTTTTGAAACATCTACTTCTTAAGAAAAAGCAAAGATCCTCCTCAGAAAGGTCATAACTAAAACACTGGAAGATGGTGTTTGGTGCACCATCAAGCTGCCCCAAGGGCGAATCAACCCCCACTCCCATCATTGGCAGCACTGGGAGTTGGGTGTAGATTTCCCTGCGTGACACCATCAGAAATGACACTTAAAAGACTGTCTATATATTTTGTGCAGTGTTTATGTATGTTTCTTTTTTACAAAAAGCACTGTGTCCAGCTAGTTGAGCTTTCTTTCTTGCGCCTTTCTTGTTTGTCATTTTTGGGTTATTCCAAGTCACATGAATACTGCATAATGTTGGGAAATGTCATTTCCAGAGAATCATCTTGGGCCTTCATAATCCGTCTTGCTTTCCAAACAAGTTGAACAAGATGTCGCTTTGGGAATGCCTGCATGACATGAGGCACATGTAATTGTAAATATGTTTAGGCTGTAGGTATGATATTCAAAAGTATGTAATTCAAAAGTATGATTTTACTTTTTCAGGTGCCTTTCTACTATTTCCATTCCATGTAGTGATATACAGGGACCACAATTTACAGTTGCCCCACTACATTTGCAGGTTTGGCATTTGTGGATATGATTATTTGTGGGGGGCAGAGAAGCTCGAAGTGAACGGTGCTTTGTAGACTTTGGGGTGTCTAGGGCAGCCAGCACTACTCTGCTCCCCGGTTTCAGGGGCTGGGATCTCAGTCGCCAACTGCTCTTGAACTCTGCTGCTTTGAGGCTTGAGGGGAACAGTTTCAAAGTATTTTTTTGTTTTTTTCCACATTCAAAGGGTTTCTAACCCCCATGAATGTGTAGGGCCGACTGTACAAGTATCACCAGCACACACACACAAAAAAAAAAAACCACACAAAAAACATTATTAAGGTCTGATATGGGAGAAGATCATTGAGTTACTTCCTGGGTGACCCCAACTTCTGGGGCCTCTCGGACCCAGAAATTACCCCTGGGCCCCCAACTTCTTGGCCAAAGCTCCCGCTATCATTGTCCTCACACAACCGATGCCTGGTTTTGCCTGCCTGAAACCCAAGCAGTTGGTGCTTTGATGGCTCCACATAATGAGAAATGAAATCCAAATCTGGAGAGCTGGGGCTAAATTCTCAATTGCGCCGACCTGTCAGAAACTGCTCTCCCTTTAACTCCTTCAACAACAGCCTTTTAAGGCATCGGTATGACATGGGCTGAGGGGATGTCAGTGGCCCCTTCCTCTCTTCTTCTGGCCACCTCCAGACCAAGAAAAGTTACTGGTGCCACCTCAACCATCTCCCAACTCCAAAAGCTCAACAGCTTAGGAACTGAGGACTTTTGGGACTAAAGCTCCCAGGCTTCCCCAACCAGGAGGACCCCGTGGAGTCGCAGTCCAAAAAACCACACCCTCACATTCTTTACTGTGGAGGCCAGGAGTTCCCAAGCTTTGGTCCTTGAGATGTTTTGGACTCCAGTTCCCAGAAGTCCTGACTATTGGCCAAATGGCTGGGGCCTCTGTGAAGTGAAGTCCCAACACCAGGACCACCAAAGTTTGGGAAAGTGTAAAATACAAAAAAGACAAGGAATAGTGGGAGGCTCTGCCACAAAGGTATGGGGGGAAACCCCACGCTTCTAAGCATTTTAAAGGAATTCAAGCACCAGAACGACATGGGGTGCCCCTACACTATGGAATCAATGCAGTTTGACTCCAAGTGAACTTCCATGGCGGGGAAGGCTCAGGTCCTTCTAAGATTACAATTCCCAGGATTCCATAGCATTGAACAATGGCAGTTAAAGTGGTGTCAAACTGCACGACAGTGCAGGTGCACCCAGGGTCAGGGTTACGCTTCCCCATTGGCCCAGTGGAGGCCCCACTGTTTTGTGGCTTCTCAGGAGAGGAGGTCCTTCCACACTCCTGCTCATCCCCCCCCCCCTCCTCCACACGCCTCGCCCTGCCCTGCCCTGCCCTACCTTTCCTGGGCGCCTCTCTCGCGCCCCCTCCTCAAGGTCTCAGCAGGAGCATCCTCCCCTCCTCCTCCTCCTCTTCCTCCCCCAGCAAGGGCTCAGCCTCGTTGCTCTCGCTCTGGCGCGCGCCGGGGCCGCTCCCGTTCACGTGGCTCTGTGCGCGCAGGTGGGGCGGGCCAGGGCTCCTTCGCCCAATCAGGAGCCGCGGCGAGCCACGAGAAGGCGGGACCACGAGGACTGATGGACAGCGCCCAGCGCTGGTAGGGTGAGGTGGAGGAGAGCCTTTTTGGGATCTTTTGCACCAGGACCAACCAACAAGGGGCGGGGCCGGAGGGAGAAATAGGAGGAGGAGGAGAAAGGGGCGGGGCAAACAGAACCTTTACTGCGAGTGAGTGACAGGGAGGTGGCGCTTCGGGGAGCCAAGAGAGAAGAGAGAGAGAGAGTGTGTGTGAGCGAGAGAGGGGCGTGGCCTGCCTGAACCGGAAGTGCCGCGCGGCCCCTCCTCCTCCCCCCCCTCTTTCCCCAGCTGGTTGTCATTTCGCTCGGAGGCTCCGTCCTGTAGAGACGGTGACGACGACGGCGGCGGCTGAGGCGGCCGGGCCGGACGCCTGACGAAGTAGACTAGCGCCTGCCTCGCCACTTGACGGARCCCCCGCTCTCCTCCTCCTCCTCCTCCTGCTCACCCCCCTTCCTTGCCCCTCACGACGCCCACCCGCCAAACGCCTGGTCCTGTTTTTGATGAGGGGCGAAGAACAGCGCCGGCGGGGGAGAAGCAGCCGCCTCAGCGGAGGGCGAAGAGCAGGAGGAGCCCAGGGAGCCGCCGCAGTCGCCACCGCCCTTTCGCCTTCTCGCCTCCTCCGCCTCCTCCTCCTGCTGCTGCCTTGAGAAGCCGGCTCCCATGGGGGAGAGAGGAGCCCGGCCCTTCGCCCCGCTGGAGACTGTGCCCCTCCTGAGGTAAAACCCGCCCCCCTTCGCCCCCCTTCGCCCGCCCCCGCTCAGCCTTTCAACGGTCAGATGCCTCTTTCCCACCCCCACCCTCCCCAACATTATTAAAAGCCTTTCCTCCCACCCAGGGAACCTCCCTTCCTTCTCCTTTGCTGTCGCATTATAAGCGAGTATAGGTGACACATTGGAAAATCTGTCTAATTTTGACGATGTCCCTTTAAAAAGGGTTTCGTTTATCCTCCCTATGTATTCTCTCTCTCCCCCCCCTTCCTCCTCCTCCTCCTCTTCCTCCCAAGCCCTTGACTGCTGATTTTTCTGAGGTGATTTTTCCCCCCTCTCTGCAGGCTGCCAGGATTCGCCTGAAGGACACAAACACAAGAACCGGATCCTCATATAGGAGGCGAGCTTGAAAAAGCAGGAACCCACCCAGCCATTGCCAGCAGCAGCAGCAGCAATCCACCCTTCTCCTCCTCCTCCTCCTGCACAACTGAGCCTGCATACACACACACTCACCCACTCACACTAGAGATTTTTGAAAGAAAAAAAAAGGAACCAACCCACACGCCCTGCCCTCTCTCTCTATAAAAAGGCCCTGTCAGAAGGGCATCCGCATTGAGCTCACCAGTCACATAGTTCTGCAAGGCAAAGGCAGTTACAGCACAGCACAGGTTGCGGGTGGTGGGGGGAAAAAAGCCCTTCAGTCCACATACCCTTTCTTAAAACCCTGACAAGAGAAACCATTACATGTTAAACAGCAAAGGCTGTTAGAATAGAACACAGATATATATTAGAGTATATAGAATTTATTAAATTATTCCAGATTTAAATATATTTTTGGAGCTGTGAAGGCGTGAGGAGTACCAGATGTCATGGTTATCTTTTTTCCATTGAAGTGTTTGTAGGCAGGTTGAGGCACTTGATAAAGCAAGAAAGCTTGATTTCAATATATATATATAATAATTCCCAGGAGCTTTGTTTCATCTCCATTCTTTTAGGAAAAGGAAACCTCTTATTTTGTTAACCAAAGATTTACTTTTTACTCCTTCTTGGTTGTCAGAAGGAAGCAAACACAAATTGAGCCACATCATTATTTTAAGTAGTCTCATGTAAAAGAATCCAGAATTAATATCCAATTAGATATCTCAAGTGGATTGGTGGAAAAGAAAGGGGTGGAAGATCTTTTACGAAATATATTTTCTAGTCTCTTGCTTTAGTAAAGGAAAGGAAACATTTGAGGTGTTTTTTTTTCTCCCAGTGAAATTAAAATCCTAAATAAAATAAATGGGGGATTACGGGTTCGGTGTTTTAGTGCAAAACAATACTGGGAATAAGTCGGCTTTTCCAGTCAGATTTCATCCACATCTGCAGCCTCCACACCACCATCAAAATGCAACCCCCAGTCCTGCTGCTTTTATAAATAACACAGCTGCCAATGGCAGTAGTGCTGGGTCAGCTTGGCTCTTTCCTGCTCCAGCTGCCCATAACATTCAGGATGAGATTCTGGGGTCAGAAAAATCTAAAGCTCAGCAACAGGAAAAACAAGACTCCCTAGAAAAACAGCAGCTTTCCCCTAGTCAAAGTCAGGAAGCAGGCATGCTGCCTGAATCCGAGAAAGCTAAATCTGAAGAAAATCAGGGGGATAATTCTTCTGAGAATGGCAATGGGAAGGAGAAAATAAGAATAGACTCTCCAGTGCTAACAGGATTTGATTACCAAGAGGCTACAGGGCTAGGTTCTTCGAGCCAGCCTTTGACATCTACTGCATCTTCTCTGACTGGTTTCAGTAACTGGTCAGCTGCTATAGCTCCTTCTTCTTCAACAATAATAAATGAAGATGCAAGTTTCTTCCACCAGGGAGGGGTTCCTCCTGCTTCAGCTAATAATGGTGCTTTGCTCTTTCAGAATTTTCCACATCATGTCAGCCCTGGTTTTGGGGGTAGCTTTTCTCCTCAGATTGGACCCCTCTCTCAGCACCACCCTCATCACCCCCATTTTCAGCATCATCACAATCAGCATCAACAACAGCGAAGGTCTCCTGCAAGTCCTCATCCACCTCCATTTACACATAGAAATGCTGCTTTTAATCAACTGCCTCATCTTGCTAATAATCTTAACAAACCACCTTCTCCATGGAGCAGCTACCAAAGCCCATCACCTACGCCATCTTCTTCATGGAGTCCCGGTGGTGGTGGTGGATATGGTGGGTGGGGAGGGTCCCAAGGGCGAGACCACCGCAGGGGACTAAATGGAGGAATAACTCCCCTGAACTCCATCTCACCCCTCAAGAAGAATTTCCCAAGTAATCATATCCAGTTGCAGAAGTATGCACGGCCCAGCTCCGCTTTTGCTCCAAAATCCTGGATGGAAGACAGTTTGAACAGAGCTGACAATATCTTTCCATTTCAGGTGAGATTGTTCTAGTTGTGTCAGAATAATAGCTTACAAATACGTGACGTAAAATGTTACATAAATGACAAGATGTGTCTTTTCTTGCATTGTTTTAATAATTACAGCTGTCTGAGTGGGAACTTAAAAAAAACCCCCACCTCTAATAAGTAGTTTATCTTGTGACATTTCAAGTGGCATGATTGCTCATCTCTGAATCATGGATGCTCTGTATCGTGTTTGTCGCAGAAATAGCTATCACCAAATAGCTCATCTATTATATGGTTAGTGTGCTGTCAGATTAGTAAACCGGATCGATAAAACTGTTGGAAAGATAATTATTCTTAAAAGTTGAATGAATAAAATAAGTCCTGAAACAACTATTTTTTTCCGATTGTGTAAAAAATGTTTGGTATCCAGAAAACAATAACTAGATTTTAAAAGTGTTCTGTTAGAAATCTCCAGCCTTGTGCAGATGCTGTTTGGTTAATTTCAAATGCTTCTGCACAATAGAATGTTCATGCTGATATTCTCCAACAAGGCCTGCAGGTTTCAGTGGTAGTCATGTAGTCATGACTAAAAATAGATGTGGACTTACTTCAGATGTTGGCCTGTCGTGTTCATATGTGATGCACTTCAAGCACTGAACATTTTTTCCTGTTTATGCAAATTAATGATAATTAAAATTGCCAGTCAGGCATAATGACAATGCATTTTTTAATTCATCTACAAGCTCACATTAAGGTTGTTTTAGACACAGGATTCTAAAACCTTAGGATTTGTGGGTAAAAAAGAAAAATTGTCAATTATTGCTGCGTTTATATTTATGATATAAGCAGGCGTTATGCCCTACTTTTACTCTAATTCCGAATATAATCAGAAGAGACTCAAAACTGTACAAATTTAAAACATTTTAATTTTATTTTATAATCCAGTAATGTGTACTGTAGACATTTCTTGCATTATCATTTATGTCTGGCCTTTGTGAAGACTACTTTAATTAGCAAGGCTTTATCGGTTCATGTACATAGGCAGAAATCCTGAAATAGTTTAAAAGTCTAGAAGCAGTATAAGGGTTCCTGCAGACCAAATTTAACCTTGGAAACCATTAGCAGTAGGATTTGTCTTGGGGAGGGGGTGAGAATGGGTGATTGTGTTGAGCCTGGCTGCAGCAAGATCTGACTCCATATCTTATTCATTCTGGTTCATGACAACGAAATGAGCTACTCTGTGACAAAATAAAATGGCCTTGATCATGTCATTAAGCTCTTGAATCTATGAATATTTGAAATGAATATTTCCCTTGTTAAAATACGTTAGTTATGCATTATGTTTCCAATATTGATATGTGCTGTTCTGAGAATTGTGACCAGGAAAATAAAAACAAGAATTACACATACCATATGTATGTTACTGTCTGTTTATCAAAGCAGACACCTGAACTGAAGGGCTTATCAGGACCATATCTGTCACTATTTTGGGCCTAGCAAAGAGAAGGTATTTTATTTTAATGAAATATTCAGTCAGTAGCAATTGCTTGCGCTGTGAGCTGAACCTGGGGGTGGGAGGACCAGCATTTTAATAGTTTTAGTAAATTCTCAATTGAAATTTGAAATAATTTTGGCATTTATCCTTTGTGGTTTGATCTCCTTTCTTCCTTCTTCCGCAATGGTTGCTTTACAGTTATCTAAAAACACAGAACTGGTACTCATTGTTCAAGTGTATGTGCTCAAGGTATAACTGTAGTTCTAAGCAAATTGTATGCAGAAATATGTTTGTGAGTATTTGCAGATATGTTAGATTTTAAATGCAGCAACTCAGTTATGTCTTGAACTCTTTGTTAGAACCTACTTGGGTCCATG